AATTCTATAATTTAGAAGATATTAATTTTCTGTGCATTTTGTTTTATTTTTCGTAAAAATTTTTGTCAAAAAAAGTTGAAAAGTTGAAAAAAAAAATTTACTGGTTAAAATGCTCTATGACAAGTAATTTTTGAGATATTGAACTATTTTGAATCTTAATTATGAAATAATAATTGGGTGACAGAAAATGACCAAGAGCGCCCTGGAATTGACAAAAACTTATGTAAAATCATCCAAAGAAACCAATTACGCAATCCTTTTAGATTTAGAAACGACAATTTTTGAGTTATACATTTTTAATTCCAAAAAATCAAAAAAAAGTAACCACTTTTCTCGCCCAAACCATAATTCCGATTTTTTCCAGGTTTTTACTGCTTGAAAGCAAATTCTAATCTAGTATTTTTATTTATTTTTTGTGTTCTTGTAAAAATGCTCTACAACAAATACTTTTTGAGATATTTTTGATTTTTTCAAAATTTTTGTCGATTTTCTGTACTTAGAGCGTTCTATTGCCAATAACTCTGGAATTATTACTGGTAGATTTTTATTTTTAGTTTCATTAAAAAGCACTTTTAATTTCGTATCATATGAAAAAAAAAGATTGTTGTTTTACAACAAACAATTATCGAGAAAATTGTTGATAAAGTCAAAAATATCAAAAATACAAATTCGACTATTCTTTTTTTTTTCAACTATTCCAAATTTTTGGTTTTCTCGACGCCAAATGGGTTAAAATGTTCTATGACGAGTAATTTTTGAGAAATTGAGGTGTATACAGGGTATTTTTTTAATATTGTAAATAATTGCAACCACATTCCACATTATTAAATAACTCTACACGACATTTTTTTTGTTTTGTAATGAATTCACTGTTTTTTTTTTAATTTTTTAATTTTTTGGCAGATTTATACATCAAGTAATATTCTTAAACATCAATTTTACAAAAAAAAATTTAAACAAATAAAAAAAAATAAACAATTGTAATAATTTAAATTAAAATTTGTTTAAAAATAATTAAAAGTTTTGTTGTTTACCTAAAACGTTAAAGCTCTTAAACAGCAGAATTTAAAAACATAAATAAGTAATTAGAATTTTTCAGTTTGAATTTTCTTATTTTTAATTAATTTCTTTGTTGTTATTTTTGAACGGTTAACTAAATTGAGCTGAAATTTTTTATACACGTTGATTCATCTAGAAATACTATTCGGACGAATTTTGTCACTGGTCACTTGATAATTATGAAATAATTATTTAACTCTTCATTAATGATAATAATAATGAATACTTTTTTGCTCAAAATACTGTTTTCAAGATAATTCCATTTTGTTTGAGGCTTTTGTAAAACTTTGAAACTATTTTAGACTATTTTGAGTTTGCATTGTTCAAAATTTAAATGATTTAAAAAAAAAGTTACGAATCTTTATTTTTTGTAAACTTTTTGCAAAAATTAGAAAAACAAACAAATTATAAAAATATTAAAACCTTGACTCTTGTCTCAAAAAAAGTTTTTTTGTAAAAGTAAAAGCTATACCTCTCAGGCATTGAGTATGTTATTCATTTACTTGCTAATTACAAAAAATGAGTTCATGTAGCCCCGCAGAATTATTTGCCTCACTACGTTTGGGATAATAAATAACTTCGCCACAAAAACTATCACTTTATATAATGTACTATTTTTATTAAACTGTCACCACAGTGCTACCAATCGTCTAAATTCCCCTATTTCAAACACACTTTTTTATTTCCAATCACATTCGATTTTCGTTTTATTAAGCACAAAATCGGTCTTAAAACTCTCATAAAATGTGAAATAATGCGTTGTGATCCGGTAGTATTTTCCTGCAATCCAATTAGAAGTAATGTTGAACAATGTATCAAAAATAAACCGTCTGCAATAATTATTATTCTCTTCTATCGTCTAACGAGATGTCAACAAACTCGCTCATTAAGCATCGCACTTACGTAATAAGCACTTTTCCAGATGGATCTCGTGTGTTATTACCATCATATATGACAAGATTTAAAACGATCTCATTTAACTCAGTGCGTGGTGGAAGACGCGACGTTGTGTGGCATGGAGTGATCAAATTCCCAATTAATTAGGTAAATAATTACGATTTATTTTTTTCCAGCTTGAAATACTTGAGCAAGTATTCAAAACTGGTGCATTTTTAACGCCAGGAATATTTTTTTAATTAAATTTTATTTTCATTATGAAAATTTTGAAAAGTCGATAAATTCCTCTTGTTTGTTGAAACTTTTTCAAGTCTGTTCAGAGTTTACACACAATGAACGATTTTAGTGTAGTTTTTTCTCCCCTTTTATTTTTTCATAATGACAAACGCGGCTGTCCAAGCAATTTTCTTGTTTTTTCTTCGTGACATCCAATTAGTGGCTTGCTTCTGACTCGAAACACAATAGAAACGGAGAAAATTTGAACGTCAACAAATTAAACAAATTAATAAAAAAGTGGCTTAGAAAAAAACGAAAATAATCAATTTAATATTT